ATGTACGATTTTTCACCTCAAAATTTATACCGAGATATTAAAAAGAACATTTCAAAGAGTGACGTTTAAATGGTGAAGACTCATCTGAAATATCGAAATTCACTATATTCCGTGAAATCGCGTTTATACCTTGACTAATATTTTACTTATTGAAGAAAGCCCGTGACTTGGATATTGACAAAATTGTAACATTATTCATGTAATAATGCAAAGAAAAAAAAATGTGTTTGACTGATTTTTTTTGATTAGCCCCATGAAACCGATCTACACGAAAAAAAAATGGATTCTAGTATATTTTATTTGATTTAAGGATAGTTAAATGTTAAAACATATTTTCTTCGAATTCCGTCTGCATGTGAAATTAAAATATAGGATGATTTTTCTAAATTTCTCCAACCAAGTGATTATTAAATATATAATTTGATGTTTCTACGCGTTTTGCAATGGACATTTTTTTGTACTAAGCAACCCCTATTTTTAATATATTAAATATAGGTTTTTACTAATTTTACACTGAAGAAAAATAATACCCGAATGTGGTGACTATATTTTAATATACAACATATTAAGATGATTTATATTTTTAGTATGACATTCAAGTAGTAAATTCACGATGAAAATTGAAAAACAGTTTTTCTCGATGATTCGAAGATGTTTCCTACTATTGAATAATTTCATTGAAATTTAGTGCGGTGATTTTTCTCAGACAATTGCGCATACCTCCATAAATATTCAAACAATTGAGAAAAGTAGGTAATTTAACCGGGGAAATATGAGCGTGTCGCCATTGTGGGGGTTTTATTTATTGACATTTTTTCAGCTCTCTCTTTCTCTGTCGTTCCATGCAATTTTTTGCGGGATTTTCCAGACACGGTAATAAAAAGGTACTGATTGAAAATACTGGGGCTCAGGTAGTTGCGGAGACAATCGGGGGTGGCGGGTCCCGCGCGTCGGCTATTTATGACACTGCGGTTACCGTACTAACGAGTCTCGTAAATGATGTGTTTTATTGTTTACTTGATAAACAGTACCGCTACTGTTGGTTTTCACGATGTGTAAGGGAATTTGATGATAACTCATGCGTTAGGAGTCATATGTAACTGTGGGAAACCGATTTTTTTTTTATATTTTCGCTCTCTCCGGAAATTTTTTTAAGAAGAATTTCTCGGTTTGATGACTAAATGGACTGATTTTTGGAGATAAATTATACCGGAGAACAAAATGGAGAAGTACTCAGGTTTTTGTGGTTTTTAATTGCTAAATAGAATTTAAAAAATGGTTTTAGTGCAAAAATTTTTAGATTTCACAAAGGACCAAGTTTCCCTCTTTCTTAAACATTTTTGAAGGTTTGACAATCAATTCTAAAAATGGTTCATCTCATCTTTTTCTTTATCTCGAATAATCTGAGCTTTGCGAAACTATAAATTCAAAATATAAAAAAAATGTTCAAGACATAACCGATCATAAAATAATGTACATTGCAATTCTCCACAAATGATGACTTAAATTTGAAAAATGACTGTACAACTTTTGCATAAATTTTGAAAAGAGGATTGAGCCTGCACAATTGAATTTTAACCCACCAAAAATTGTAAAAAATTTCAAAAAAATATGTAAAAAAATCAATAAATTTCAATGAAAAAAAAACTCACTTGATGAAGGCTGCATTTTAGTCTGCGACGTAGGTGAATGATTTAAGCTCTCTTGACTCTGCATCTTCTCCATCCAACAGTATGTAAAAATCTCCCTTACGTCAGTCTCCACAGGTTCACAAAATATTAAAAATTCATGGAAAAATCAACGAAACAGTATCACAAAACTATAATAAAATCCGTGTTGTCAACAACTTGGAACAATTTTTAGTAATGAAAAAAACAATATTCAGCATAAGGAAGAATATTTGCACGTTCTTGTTCGCTCGGTAACTCTTGAATGGATTGTGACTGACAGTCATCAGCAGTCGAGACTTTTTGATGGCTCGGTGTGGATACCGTTTTGAGGGTGAGAAATCCTGGTGATTGGTCGAGAGCTTCCCTACCCCTCAAGGGGCGTTACCAAAAAGGACAGTAGGTGCCTCCCTCTCTAAAGCAGGTCCACTTCGAGGGGTTGATCACCAGTCTCGAACCCTAGATCATATTCTACCTCCCCTTATTTCATTCACCCTCTTTGTCAGGGGCTTGAAATCGGGCTTGTCCTATCGCACAACCCCATTCATCTGGTTGTACAGACGCGCGAGAACCGAGCCACTTTCCATCTCCCCCTGGTCTCCCAGACCCCCCACATTATCTCAACTCCTCTTGTTCTAGACAACGTCATGCCGGAGCTCATTCGACTCTAACCCCTTTTTTCCCAACACTTTACCGGGAATTAATCAGCTAAATTGAGTTTTCGCCAATTACTTATCTATTCACTGTTCTTTTCATTTTTATACTCGGAAAATTCATTACTTCTGGTCACTTCAGAAATTACTTTTGCAAAATATAAACAGAATTTTCATTCCAGCAACTTTCTTAATTGTGAGAATACTGAAAATTACTGTGAGTAGTAGTGGACGAAAAGTTATCTATTTTTAATGAAATACATTTTTTTAAAACAAATGGAAAATTTCATATGCAAAATCGGAATACTAAAACTTCAAATTCCAGAAATTATAACTTCAAGAACGAAAATGTTTTGTAGTAATTTGTTTAAATTTCAAATGAGAAATATCCATTAAAAAATGATTATTTTCATGATTAAATTTGAAGAAGGAAATAATTAACTCTAATATTATGGATTTTAGTAAAAAAAAATTCAATAAAATTCTTAAAGGCGTGAGTTATTTTTCTTGAAATGACTAGAAATATTTTTGGTATGTTCAAACCAGAAGATAGGCTCCTGAAAAAACAAAAACTCCGCGCGTAAAATCGCAGGGGAATTGTGCGGCGGAAAGATCTATTGAAAGCTCGAATACAAATGCACCTCATATTTTGATTTGCCCCCCATTACCGAGCGTTTAGCTGTCAGTTTGCCTTCTTGACAAAGCGACTCGACTCTCTTTGGCAGTTTTCGGCGGACACCAGTCGCATCAGAGAAGATCCCCCCGTCCCTTACGTTTTTTTCCACCAATTATATACTACATAATATAGTGAGTCTATTTCGCCTTTGTTGAGGGAGATTTTCGTTGGATAGTTGCGTGGATAATCTCACCGACATATTGCACCAAAGCCAAAAACTACTCATGGTTGGACGAGCATACGCCAAACCTCGGGATCGAATTCTCTCCTTCAATGGGCGCTTTCTTACTCATTTCCTTTTTTCAACAACTTTTTTTCTCTCTTTTTGGACTCGATCATCACCCAAGGGAGAGTTGTCGATGGGAATATGTCTATTATTGAAACGCGGACAGATTTCTATTATTCTCAGGCATACCTACGTCCTCTTAAATTCAATATCTGACGTATTGAGATTCGACGGTGGATACGTTGGGATTATTCCTTGCCCTCTGAAACATTTTTTTATTTCAAAGAAACAAAGTTGAATCACTACATAAAATGTTTACTAATTTTTTCATCAATTGGAAATTACCAATTAGAGAATTAAATATCAATATTTTAGATGATTCTGAATCATCTAAACACAACTTTTTAAATCTCATTTTTTTGCTATATTGATATATAGTTTGCATCATTCTCGATATATTTTGAGCTAAAAAATCGTGCGTACCGCTTTTATGAGCAACCCTAAATCTTCCATGTAGAATGAACTTT